ATGTGATTAAAGTAAGAACCAATGTCTGGGGACCAAAACGCGAATTCCATTGATTATATTTCGCATTTTATGAGAGATAATTTGTGTTTTATAAGGTTAAACTTAAAGACTGTATGGCACTACAGTTATCCTGTGTCGTTGAACTGAATTCTGAAGAGGTGTCTACATAAAATCTTATGAACTAATTGCGCGAGGAAAAAAATGAACTAAAATACATAAGAATTTATCAATTACTTGATTCACAATACTAGATTACAAAATAGCCCTTTTGTTTACATGAAATGAGACTTGGAAGACTATTTCCAAGCGAATAAAACAAGCGAGTAGGCGTTTTTATAGGTTAAAACTTTTGGATCAATCGTACAATCCCCCTTCAATCGATTTAGGGGGAGATAAAACACCAATTTTTCAGAAATTGACTTGACGAGGGCAAAAAAATGGTGTAATTAGTAAAAAAAAATCAATCGATAACAATTATGATTAATATTCTGCGCTATTAACTGAGTTAAATATCTATTCAGTTTCAAAAATTTTCTCCAGCAGTATAATCAGCGCGCTTGTTCGAAATGAATATTTTATGCTGAATTATTTCTATGGTAGGTCACTTAGGGGAGGCGATTGTACTGTTGATCCAAATTTTTTATTTATTCAAAACATAATCCGAAATGAAGTTTTTTATTTTTTTTTGTTGATATTTCGAAGGCAAATGTTGTCGATTATGCCTATATTTCAACGTTTTTGTCTATTTCCTTTCATTACACCCACGCACAAAAATGACATTACACCACGCGTCGGAACTTCGTGCTATTTTTTTCAATCGATGTGATTAAAAAACAACCAAAAAAGTACACGGTCTATTTTGATTGATACATGTCTCTAAAATGATCAGTGTTCTTTGACCAGTTTTCGAGACGCCGTAAAAAGTAAGATAGAGTTTTTAGTTTGAACAGGGACCGTCTGGTATTAGTTTTTAGTTAGTTTGGCAAAATTTTAAAAAGTTGAACTTGCATCTGAGTTTCGATGGTAGTTTTTACGGAAATTCTAAACTTATTATTAAGTGTGTCTAAATTTAACTAGGATGTAGGATGAATTAAGGTAATATTTAACTTTGGGGTTGGCTGATTTTATGAAAATACAGGCCCCTCGGAGAAATGCTGTATAGATTTTTGTGATATATCTTATTGAAGCGCCTTTAATCGTGATTCCAGCTGCAATGGAAAATTTCAATAACGTTTTCTGTTGTTAAAAATACTAATCGGCGTGTTTTTTGCTTAATGGATTTTGTTCTTTTCTTTCTTCTGATGATTTTTGTTTGGTGATGCGTAGTAAATAGACCAGACTATTATTGCTTAGCATCTTATTGTTCACACAAGCAAAGCTTATGTGATAGTATGAACTCTCTTTTTTTTTGCAACCTAAGTCGCAAATATTAGTGTTCATACTGAAAGTGTTCATTTTAATCAATAACCAGCTATCAAGTACAGCCAATGCGAAGGATGCTAACACAGAATATTATATTACAAGTACCACTTTAGCTTCAAGGTATCATGTATGTAGCGTAGAGGTAGTGAAGGAGACCCTCAACAAAGTAAGAGGGTTCAAACCTGGACAGGGTCGGATGTTTTTAATGAATTTTTTCGTATACAAGTTAAAATGCGTACGCTCTATAAATTGAGGCATGTTAGTTGGTAAATTTTTTTCTCAAATTGACTGGTACTGCTAATGCGTCATAATTGGCGTGCGTCACTTAAGAAATTTTGTAGACTTAAAGTCTTACTCATTCAGTTTTTCCCAGTAGCGTTATCGGTCATATTTTTGCTTGTGTATGCGAAGTGCAACTGCGCCTCTGTGTTTAATAATTGTTGAATGGGGTTTAGAAAATAAGACGAAAAGCAAATTAGACGATCAGAAAGTAACTGAATTTATGCAAGTTGCGTGAAAATTGCTTACAGGCTTAAATTAACTTTTGGTTGAGTAAACACCAAATTTTTGAGTTCGAACCACAAATCAGATTATTAATGTCAGAAGTGTATAATTTATGTATTTCAAGAATGTACTGTACTGTTTTTCGATAAAATGGTTTATAATTAATTTACAAATATTTTTGATCGGTATTATGGTAATTACCCTTGCAATAGCAAGGTTTTTGCAATCGGGTTAGACTTTTTTCCCGTAAACAACTTTGTCCAAAAATTTCAGCATGCAATGCTTGCAGTACACGACATACATGCAGTATGTGCGTCTTATATTTGCGCTCATTGGTCTATTACTCTCTTTGTGCATCCTTCTTAGTGTCACTCAAATAAATTTGCAGCTGAAAATTTTTACATGATATTTCTTTGGTATTTGTTTGAATTTTCGCCTTCGTTGCTTTCGGTTTACTTTTTGTCGGCTTAGTTTCCGCTTTGTTTGTATCATCCGACTAAATCGCTTATTTGAATTTTATTTTTTTTTAAACAATATAGTTGCTTTTAGTGTTCTGATTTACCTGTGCTGTTTCCTTGTAAGTTTTTTATACCTTGACATCGTACATCGTATATTTCTTTTTTTAATTGAAAACTTTTTTTCTGCCCATATGATTTTTGCCTATATTTAATCGTCCTTGTGACCTACTTTTGAGTTGTTTCAATGGAAACATATTTTTTTGCTCATCTGTTGATTGAACAAAATGCTAAACGTGTCCCTTATTCATCGCATTTGTTTTTTTTTCTGCTTGATAGGTTTCGGCTTATATTACATCTTAACTTCTTATTAGTCTTAACTTTTTCAATTTTTTTTATTTTCGTTTTTGGGCGTCTTACTTTTCGGGCTATATCATATCGGTTGAGTGTCTCACTGTTTTTTTTTGAAGAGCAAATAATGTTTTTTGAGTGTTTTGAGGGCGACTTAACTCTTAATTCTTGTTGTTTCTTTGGCTCAAAAAGTGTTTCGCCAAAAAATTTGTTGCCGCTTGGTAAATTGTGAAATTAGCATTGGAAGATAATTTACCAAGCGGCAACAAATTTTTTGGCGAAACACTTTTTGAGCCGATGAAACAACAAGAATTAAGAGTTAAGTCGCCCTCAAAACACTCAAAAAACATTATTTGCTCTTCAAACAAAACAGTGAGACACTCAACCGATATGATATAGCCCGAAAAGTAAGACCCCCAAAAACGAAAATAAAAAAAATTGAAAAAGTTAAGACTAATAAGAAGTTAAGATGTAATATAAGCCGATATTATGTATAATGTAATAATATAAAATGTCGACAAAAAACTACATCTATCATAATGAATAAGGCTACTTTTGAAAGAAAACCATACCGATAAAAAAGAATGTGAAATTAGCATTGGAAGATATTCTTTTTTATCGGTATGGTTTTCTTTCAAAAGTAGCCTTATTCATTATGATAGATGTAGTTTTTTGTCGACATTTTCGTTTTTTTTTTGTATTGTATCTGAGTATAGTTTTATTGTGTCAGTTCATTTTATTGGCCCAGTTCTTGTCTAAATTTGCAAAAAGTAATCGTCTATATTCAGTTAATTTACAACCAAATTTCAACCATTTTGCGGAACAATCGCTGCTCTAAGGGCACCCAATTTGTTGTCTTCTCAAATCGCCGAATGCGAAGGATACATCATTAGCATTTTAATTGCAAATGAATACAAGGGTAGTCGGTTACTATGGAAGTGGCACAGAATGTTCCGACCATAGTCGTAAAAAAAATACAACAGTTTTTTTAAATTAGTATCGTTTTTTTTTCGGCGTGGTGGATTAGGTATATTAGATACAAAAAACGAAGGATTATGTATTTTCGACAGCCATACTAAAATAAGCAAAATGAAGTACAATTTTTGTCGAAAAATTACTAGAAAAACGATGAAAAATTAAAAATTATTTTTCAAAAATTTTTCAAGTTTTTTGCAATTTTTTGAATTTTTGAAACTTATGATTGCAAAAAGGCGTTAACATACAAAAAAGTAAACTAACGTTACCCAAGTAAAATTATGTTTTTACGTTTTGAATTGGGCTATTATAAGCTTTTAAGCCATAATAAGACTGCCCACTCGCTTTATTCGCTCGAAATAAAACGAAAAATTTCAAACCAGTTTTTCTCGACATTGGCAAAATTTTTTGTAAGTTTATTTATGTGGTTCGAATTACAACTGTAAGTGCTTTAATATGATATATCACTCAACCCAGTCGGATGATTATTTGTGGTACCTGATTTTGCGTGTAAAACAATAAGTAGAAAAAAACTAAAACACACCCGAATACAAAGTTCCTCTCCATTTTCAATGGTCGGAACAACAAGGATAGCCGGTTAATTTGCAAGTAGCACATAATTTTCCGACCATATTTTTAAAAAATATAAAAGAGACAGTCATAGTAAAAATAGCAAATTGGACAAAATGTTTTGTAGATAAATGACTAAAAAAAAATTTTTCTAAAAAGTTTCTGATTTTCAAAATGGCGTTAATAACTCCAAAAGTTAACTCTACCTGCGTATAACTCAGTGTTTTAAGGCTGAAGTTAAGCATTAATAAGCTATTGTAAGCCTCTTTGCTCGCTTCAGTTGCTCGAAATTGAAGCAAAACTCGAAAATTTAAACCAGTTTTTCTCAATGCTGGGAATACTTATTGAAACTTTTTTTAATGTCGTTTGAATTACGACTGAAAGGGCTTCAATCTGGTATATCACTCGACCCATTCCGATGATCATTTGTGCTGCCTGATTTTGCGTGGAAAACGAAAAAACTAAAACACACCCGAATACTAAGTTTCTTCCCGTTTTCAATGTCGGAACAGACTGATTTAGCTTTTTGTTTCATAAGCTAATTATCTGAGACTACGTGCATTTCATCCATTTTTTTTTACTTGTTTGTATTTAAATACCAAACGGAAATTTTTGTGATGTGAGAAAACAGTATTTCAATGTTTTGAAAATGTATTCTTTTAAATGATCTTGGGTTTAAAAAGAATTTGAAATGTGGTTGTCTTCATAATTTGTGTGTTTTAGTGTCCTGTTCCACACAATTCTGCACGACGATGTGCTCTACCTCGTAATATCTGATCTGGAGTCAGGCTACGTCACACCGTACAACTTCTTAACCGAGGCAAGTTTATTGTAGTGGCTCATTTCGAGTTTTAAATCCCCTTCGTAAGGCTATAACGAAGTTGCCTAAACTTGGTCAAACCAAAGTTTGCGCGGAAAGCGTTGTTCTGATTTGTCCACTTGTTCACGCTGGCCTGTTTTAATGTGATTTATATCAACAGAATACAATATAACCGGAATCTTCCAAATCGTATTTTGCCATAAAATGAAGGGTGGAACTGGAAAAGAGCCATAATGTTTGTAGAATTCAATTTTCATTTTTTTTTGTATTCGGTACATTCGGACAACTAAAAACAAGGACTTACCGGGAACTTCTTCCACCAAAAACAAATTTCAGAACTGCCAGACAGAATTCAGAACAAAAAACCGTAGCTATTATGCAAAATTGCTAAGTTGGTTTAAGATTTCTCAAATTGCGAACTGCCATTTTATATGAAGCTCCCGGCTTTGTTGCCGTTAATCACGCTGTGTTCTCAGCATTCTTGACGCCTGCTATAATGATACCATATACAGTTAATGAATACAAATCATATCAATCCGCAGTATAACAACTTGCTTGCTGTCGATGCTTGGAAGCAAATAGTTGGTCGGCGCTTTTCCTTGTTAAGAGTCGATGAACGTATGACAGACTCTCATAGAGGTCGTGATTTTTTTCGGAAAAGTTGAAATAATCTTATTACTACAGAAGTGCGTTGATACATAGTAATAAGTAGTAATTATAGTAAAGGATTTGTCAAAAGGGGGAATCATTCCGACAGATCTCAAATGCGTGTTCGCGTACTCTGGATGGTTGGACCTATACCACTGCGACATTGTGGTTAGTATCCCCGCTCATTTATCTCGAGGAATTGCAATTCACCTAGAAAGGGAATAGATGTTTCTGCATATGTTTGCATCCAGATCTCAGTGCCAATCTATGGAAGTTCCCATCGGTTGTAAATAGTGAGAGGTCCTTGTCTGCTTAAACCAATATTTGATCTGTTTAAATTAAGCGGCCCAATATCGAATTAGGGGTTGCGAATTTGGCCTCCAATTTTGAAAGCCCGAATCATTTTAGTTAACGAGATAAGACGATTTTTGAGATTTTTTCAGAAATTTCAAATAACAAAATAATCTTTTATATATTTAAATGCGGGCTTCACTATCTCGCCATGTTTAAGCTTTTTCAGCGTATTATTTTTGCATGCTTAAGCTGTATCGTATATTGCAATGGTTAAGATTTTTTTTTTCGATTTTCCAATTTGATTTTATTGGTTATTTTATTGAGTTTAAATTAAGCAGCCCAATATCGAATTAGGAGTTCCGAATTTGGCCTCCAATTTTGAATGCCCGAATCATCTTAGTTAACGAGATAAGACGATTTTTGAGATTTTTTTCAGAAATTTCAAATAACAAAAAAATTTTAAAATTGTGAGGTTCCCAACTCTGTAGTTGGGTGCTGTCAGATTACTCTAAGGAGTTATAAATCTTGCCTCCAAATATGACTGTTCAAATCATTGTAGTTTTCGAGATATGACGTTTTTTGTGATTTTTTTCAAACAATTTTCAGAAAACTTATATTAAATTTTTTTTCGCAAAATCTGAAATTCCCAACCCTGTAGTTGGGTCCTGTCAGAGTATTCTCAAAGATTGTGAATCTTGCCTTGACTGCTCAATTCGTTGCAGTTTTCGAGATATGATATTTTTGTGATTTTTTCAAAAATTTTCAGAAAACTTAAATTATGATTAGTTTTTAAATTCTGAAATTCGCAACCCTGTAGTTGGGTGCTGTCAGAGTATTCTCAAAGATTGTGAATCTTGCCTCCAAATATGACTGCTCAATTCTTTGTAGTTTTCGAGATATGACGTTTTTTCAAAAAATTTTCAGAAAACTTATATTAGTTTTTTTTCGTAAAATCTGAAATTCCCAATCCTATAGTTGGGTCCTGTCGGGTGGCATCTCCATGAGCAAATACTATTCGTCAACGTTTTAAACTAAGATCATAACGACAAAAGGACCGCAGAATTGCTTCAAATATCACAAAAAAAACTAAAATAGAAAAAAAATATGTTTGTTTTTGTGTTGTCTAACAATCAAAATAAAATTAGCAAAAATACTATAACAAGGGATTGGAAATTATCATAACATACTTAGAAAATGTTCGTTGGCACAAATATATATGTCTCTTCTTTTATGAAAAAACGAGTCCAAAGATTCATTGGTAGTTGTTAACGCTGCAAGAAGAATATTTTTATCTAACTGTAAGAACTTATTATACAAAATCCTATTTTCCTTTTTTCTTGTAGTAAGCTTATTTCGGCTGCTAATTTTTTTTCTCGTTTTGCCTGTTTTGATAGTATCTGTTATCTCCTGTTAACTTATGTATTAATAAAGTTTTTATTGCCACAAGATCGTTTTCTAATTTAAACTATGTAGCTTTAGTGTATCCCAAGAATTTTTTTTTCATTTCTTAAAAATCACCCGAATATTTTTTCAGGTAAAATGGAGGGTTTTTGATTGGGATGGAATCCTTAATGGTATAATGCTCCTGTACCCTCAACCGTTCATTCAAATTATTACAAATAGTTTGCAAGTCGCTCACTTTTTCTTCAAGTTCACTGTTACCGGATACCAATTTGTATGCCATCAGCAGCAACGCCTCTCTCACATTCTTATCCGTAACCTGATTGATGCTATCATTCATCTGCTGTGGAATATCCATGATGTAAAGAAAAACCTTTTTAATACAATAACTTATTATAATTGAATCCAATGATTTTCTCTTTTTGTTAATTCAAACAACGTAACTTAAGTTTAAAATCGGCCGTTCAAATTTTTTAGAAAGAAAATTTGCTTCTGAAGGTCATGAAAAAGTGCAACTGTTTGTCAGCTATGTTCCATTCTATCGTCTCTATGTTTCATTCTATCGTCCTCGTTGTTTCATTCTATCGTACAGTAAACTCTGCGAACTACTGTTCGTCAGAAAGAATAATTTTTCTGAAGAAAAACCGCATCTATCACAATTTTTTGCGTCACTTTTTCGAATGTCGGATCAATGAAAGAGGAAATGCAATGAAAGAGGATCTGTTTTTTTTAACTGCATGGGCTCTTGTGTTAACCTATGGAGATAGTTTTAGCATCGTTGAATGTTTCTGTACTGTTTGTTCAAAGTTTAATTTAAACATTGTGATAAGCCTTTATGTTATTGCCAGGTAATGAAATGGTGTTCTGGTTATCTAAAAAATTTAAGGAACTCTACTAAAAAAATTTTAAGGGTACCAAAATGCATATCCTATATTGCATACAGTTTCTGAGATATTTTATGCACGCAACAGTATTCAACCACGAAAACTGATTCTTGAGAGTATTAAGTGCGATTATTAAATTTTTGTCAAGATGAAGTACTTGTGTACTGTTTCCCCGTAGCATCTTGTGTCACCAATTTTTTACCATCAAGACTTTTTCCATCATAACATAATTATTGGGGTATTTTTCATACAATCTTGCAGTATCCAATTTCAAATTGATACAAAAATAATATTCTTGAATTGCAAACAGCCCTTCAAAACATGAAAATTCGTAAATATTGATTTTATCGGGGGGAATCAGTGCGTATTTGAATGTTAAGAGTCTCCAGTAATATTATTTAAATGTCATGTATTCAAGTAGGGCTAATATAATGGATTCTGATATGGTAATATTAGCTGAAGCAGACAATACAGTTTTAATTTAATAAGAAGCCCACTTGCGCGGAAAAATACGCTTTTGTTTCAGGTGAAGAGGCGGTTTTGCTCCACCAGTTTGATTGTGCGTGCCAGTTCAGCCGGCCCCTTTGCTTTTACTCGAGAGTTCCAGCCGGTTCTACATCAGTTGATGGTAAATGACCTGGAAATTTGTTTATTTAGCCCGCTCATCCCATTTGAAAACAAATTGGAAGCAAACAAATAATATTTTGATCTCTATTTATGGTTTTGTCACTAAGTTCCGATTTACACCAGTGCTTTTTTTCTCGTATTTGTACATTGTTTACGATAGTTTTTTGTTTCTAGATATCTGATGATGTCAGTTTTGACGAATTCGTTTTTAAAAGTCGATGAATGTAGTTTTTTTTTTGAATGATATTTTTTTTGTTTTCAGGAAAAATCACGTTTTTGCAAAAAGTCCTAAAAATTTTTTCGTTTGATTTTTTTTGGGGTTTGAGTTTTGATTTCTTTTGAAGTTCACTTCGTTTTCTTTGTTGATAGGAAGGCAAAGTCCACTATCGAACAGCAAAAGTGCAAAGATCGCAAAAAACGTGGTCGTCTTCTAATTTCAAAAGTGATTGTAATTTTCAGATTTCCAAGCCGAGTTAAATACCTATGGATCCAGTTTTCTAAAATTGGTTTAGTTTTATCAAAAAAGCATCAAAAATTGTTCTTGAAACTCAAAAAGCTTTAAGGGCGTATATATCTTTCAAAAAACAATTCAGTTTTTTTCCTGTTTACTTGCGTTCACGTTCATTGACTATTTTCCAACTGTCTATTGGCAATGTTTTAACATTGATCCTGTTTTTTGTTACCCGGCACACAAATAAAATGGACAAAATATTTTCAATTTATTCAAAGTTTTTGCCTCCATTTTTTCGACCTTAAATGTGTCAATAATTCTACAAGGCGACCAACTTACAAAATAGAGTCGCGAATTTATTGCTATTTCTCAGACATCATCGAAATATCTGAACGATTTTTCCACACAAGCAACTGATTAACTGATTAATGTAGTAATATTTTCTCGAACTTAATAAAAATTGATCGATCGTAGCTATCAAACAGTAGAGTAGACTAATGAAGAGGTAATCAATTTTAGACTCAGTTGCCATTTAATTATTGATTGATTGATTTGGAAAAATATTGTCTGTCGGAAAGTGTGCACCAGGACATCACGTGCATGATAAAATGCTAACAAACGAAAAGACCCATTTTCCTTATAGATCTTTTCTATCTATAATAGAAAAGATCTTTATAGATCTTTTCCTTATAGATCTTTTCCAGTTAGAGAAAATTAATGAGAGCTGTATTTCTAAATTTTGTGTTAAGCACTGCGAAGCGGGTGTATTAATACGAAACTTCTTTTTTTTTCCACCTAAGTCGCAATTATTGGTGCCACTTTTGGGGCTGCTTTCAAGCTTTTTCATAGCATGGGCTTTGGCATTCGAATAGAAATAAATCAACACAGTTGATGCTTTTTAATTCATCAATTGAACCGAAAAAAGTGATTTGTATCAAACAGCATAACAATAATGAAATCTCGATCGATTTCAGAAATCTCGAACTCAATATATCTCGCAATTTTTGGAAATGCATAGTTTATACATAATGTGGGTTTATGCTTTGCAATTTGTTACATGCAAAGTTATTGTGGATGCCTTCAGTTTGTTTTGATCTAATTTATTACTTGCAAAGTTGAGTTTATTTGTATTTGGTGCCACTTTTGCTGAATTGCATTGGCAATTTGTTAGCATATGTAGCTGCTTAATTCGTGACTAGTGTTTGTCGGTTGTTAAGTTTGAGTGGATAGTGCATGAGACTCAAAATCACTTGATTGCAGTAGTTTGCAGATCAAATCCTAGACCTAGCCGAGTTTTTGCTTATTCGAGGCTTATTTCTATTTTTTCGTATTGTACATTTTTCTAGAGCTGCTTTTTGGCCGTGTTATCGCAAGTGTTTCCGAAGTGCAGCTTCGCCTCTATGTGAATCGTTGCTTATGCAGCGAGTTAATCCGGCTCCAGACTCCAAATTGAAAGCATTCCAAATTGTACCATCGATAACGAGTTGCTGTGCAAGTAGCACATTTTGTTCCGACCATATTTTTTTTAAAAAATCAATAGAAAAAAAGTTTTTCAAATAACTTTGTGTTTTGTGTTTGATGTGATGATAGAGTCTAATTGAAGACGTAAAATTTCAATATTAGAGAAAGTTACGGACTTTTGACAACGGTTTTTTACATAAAAAAAATATAAAGTATAAAATTTTTTGTAGAACTTTTTGTTGATTCGTTCTAAATTTTTTATTGCCTTGAAGGCGCTAAATGAATGCTCGGTAACTAGTTGCTGTTTGATAAAAGCAGTTTTTTGAATAAATATTCGGATCGGGTTTTTTTCATTTATTTTTTTAAACGCTTTTCAAAATTTTCTCATTTCTCTCAAAAAAATCGTTTTCTCAAAAATTACTCCACCGATTTTCAAACAAAGTGATATAAATGGAAAAGTTGACCACTCACTTATGGGCTTGCATTATGTTGTCACTTTTAGCTTACCCCTTCTCTACAGTCTTCAGAAAAGTCTATGCGGGGAATATTTTAACCAAACTGTTGGAATTTTTTTTTGTTTTCTTGAACACGACCCTCCGAAATCTGAGGTTTTGGGGTTCAATATAAAGAGCGTGTTCGTGGACGCTTCCCTGCATAAGCAGTTACACACAATTTTTTTTACACAAAAAGTTATGGACCTCAAAAATGTCAATCTCTAGATTTTGACATTTTTTTAAACCTGGCTTTTCTCAAAAACTACACTCCCAATTCTGAGATTTTGAATTCATAAGAAAACATAGGTTGTGCGAAGCTAACCTCTATAAGCGGCTACGCCGAAATTGTTTCTTTCGAAAGTTTTGATCCCCGGAAAAACTACCCTCCCTATTCTGAGATTTTGAATTCCAAAGAAAAGATTGTTTTGGGTGAAGCTCAATTTTCGAACATTTGATTTTAACGATTTCATCCGGCATCAGTACAACAAATTCAAAATTAATCAAACAGGTGCACCTTTAGCTCGGCCCCTATTTTTTGAAAAATTTTTAATGTCGTTCGGGTCACGACTGAAAGGGCTTTCATATGATATACGACGCGACCCGTTCCGATGGTTGTACCTGATTGTGCGTGGAAAAAATAAGAAAGAACTGAAACATCCGAATACAAAGTTCCTCTCCATTTTCAATGGTCGGAACAATAAATCAAGCAAGTTGGTCCTAATAATGTATTACTAGACGCGAAATATATCTTTGATGTGCTTGATTTTGCGTAAAACTGTTCAGTCGTTCAAAGGCCTGATACGCATAGTCTTGTTTACCCAAGCAAAGTTGCGTGATAGTATGACCCTTTTTTCCCAACCTAAGTTGCAAATAATATCATCTCTTTAACTATATTTTTTCCTTGGTACCTAGCAACGAATATCCACCCGCTTTTAAGGAATAATTGTTATACGTTATACGGTATACGGTCAGTCATTATACGGAAATTTGTGTACAGTAAAAGCAGTAGGATGGTAATAGAAGAGTTGCAGTGCCAGGTTGAATTTTAGCTAAAATTGTATCAAAAATTTGAAAATAGTTAGCCGGACATCTAACCAGGTAGTATTACGCGCGAAATTTTTGGTGCTTTCATTTATGCTGCATGGCTCTTTACTAAGCCTATCGTCGATGCGCAAAAACGTTCGAAGCATGTGCAGGGTTTTCACAGATTCGCATAAGAAGGATATGCCAGATGATTTTGAATGTCAATTAGGATAGCTTCTGAAAACGAAAAGTAACTACGCTTATCTGGGCTAAAGCATCTTCTGCTTTAAAAACGTTTGATTTTGAAATAATATCACTGTTCAGATGGAAGCCTCCTCTGGAAACGTGTTTGCCGATCTGAACTCACAAGTGGACGACGTGAAGAATGTCATGAATGAGAACATCGAGAAGCTGCTGCAGAGAGGGGAAACGCTGGACGACCTTTTGAGGAACACACAGAATCTCGAAATTGAGGCAAGTAGTAGATGACAGCTCCACAAAAGCATATAATTGATGAGACATGACGATTTGCAGTGATGTGAGGGAAGTATGCGCTAGGCTTTGCAGTAAATTCTGCCAGAACATAGATTTTGAATCGTTTGTATTGTATGAAGTTTCTCAAATGATTTTTATCGTCTTCCCAGTTAGATCATCGTCAGACTCACGTGAAATCTAATGAAATCTTTGTCGGGTTTTCTTAGTTCTCGTATTTTATTTTTTTACCCTTAAGATAAGCAAGAGTATTGCAATCGGGTACAAGACTTTTTTCCCGTAAATAACTTTGTTCACAGAAAGGTCAAATTAGAAATGGTAAATTTGAGTTCAGTTCATAATGTTTCAAATTTTGTAGCGCTCCCGGCACACAGCCTGGAGGTTGCAAATACGCCTGGGACGGCAAAGGTTCTGAATTCGAATCTGACAGGACTTGTGTTTTTTAAACAGGAAATATTGCGTTTCAAAAAAAGTTGTCGGCTGATTATTTGTCTGATTATATTTTGTCGGCCTAATAAAATTTTCTTGCTGTTCGCAATTAAAATTGTAATTGCTTTAAATGTTCTGTTTTATTTCTTCTGTTAGTATTTTTACTAACGTCGACTTCGTATATATATATATATATATATATATATATATATATATATATATATATTTTGCTTAAAACATAAGTCAAAATCGTTTGAGACAGAATAATGTTTTAAAGCAAAAGAAAATATATATACGAAGTCGACGTTAGTAAAAATACTAACAGAAGAAATAAAACAGAAAATTTAAAGAAATTACAATTTTAATTGCGAGCAGCAAGAAAATCTTAATAAGCCGACAAAACATAAGCAGACAAATAATCAGCCGACAACTTTTTTTGAAACGGAATATTTCAGATCCTGTCAGGTTTGAACTCAGGAATCGAACTCACTAAGCCGATAAAACATAAACGGAAATAGTTTGAGACAGAATAAAACTTTTATCGGCGTAGTGAGCTAATTTTGAGTTCTTTTCAGAGAAACATAATTTTATGCTCTCTTCTGGATTGCACAAAGCGTCATATCGGCTTAATGGCATTATATTGCGTCTTTCGACGAGCAAAGAAAGTATGTGTATGCGTATGTATATTTTGAGAGTTGGGGGGACTTTTTATTAGTCTTCAATTGTTTAAGTTTGTTTTCGGCTTTTTTCGTTTTTTTTTCCGGCTGAATAGCCTGAATGATATCGTCTTAGTGGCTTTTTATTGTTTCATTTGACAGTGTAATAAAGTTTTTTTGTGTGTTTTTGGGGAGTAGGGGGCTTATAAGTTTTGAGGAGGTAGGGGACTTTTTATAATCTTAAATCTAGTTGACTATTTTCGTCTTAAATGGTTTCTGCTGAGGTATTTTCGGCTTTGTAACCGCTTTTAAGCTGTTTTCTTTCGATGCTAATTTCATATTTTACTGTCTGGGCATTTTTCTTTTTCAAAATCAGCCCTATTCCTTTTGATCGATCTAGTTTTTCCGACTTAGCGGCTTTCTTCGTTTGTATCGCAAGTGATGCGGAGCTCAGCTTCGCCTCTGTGTTATAATTGTTACAAAGGGAGCTCATAAATATTGTTTGTTATCATACGAATCCACTTTTGGAACCAAATTCGAACAGTTTTTAAAAATTTCCGCGCTGATTTTTTGCACTCCGTTTCTTTTTGGTGATTCAAAATAGCATTAGATACAGCCGCTTAGTTACCGCTTGCAATTATCCGTGTATTTATGGCAGAGTTGGCTCCATATACTAGTTTTAAGGCAAGATGCTCTCAATCAGCTGGTAACTGGTTGTTTCAATCACGATTTCGATGGTTTTTGCCCGTTTCAAGTACTGTTTTAAATGCGATAATGGATGAAATGACTTCTTACTGATTTGGGTCTTCAGTTTGACTCTTGATTTTCTTAATACGCTTTTAAAAGTTCATTTGCTTAATGGGAATCAATTTGCGCTCTCCAGTATTATGCATTACTTATTCAGTTGGTGCTCACATGAGATTGAGGTATTCAGACCAATTATTTGTTTCTACAATTGCGAGAGCAAGTGTCTTGTAATCGGGAACTAGACTTGTTACGGCAATCATTCTGACAAGTCTGCCAGAAATTAAACTTGCTCATTCACTGAATCATAACAGCAGCCAGTTCACGGTCGGAATTTCGTTTGTACGCTCAAATGTTGTCGCCTTAGGTGGCGCATCACGGATTTTTCTTGTGCTGTAAGCAGGGGTGGATCTGGCTCAACGATATTTTTTTGGCTCAACTGCTGTCGATTTTTGGTTTTGTATCCGCTTCGTAAGTTTTTTTCCGTTGCTAATTTAATTTGCCAGTGTGTTGCTTGTTATATGTATTTTCTCATATATTTTTTTTCAGTATGAATGAATTAATATTGATTGCGGGAAAAATTGAATGGCCAGATTTTTGTTTTTCTGCTTAATTGTTGTCGGCTTAGGTGGCAGATCACGGATTTTTTTTTGTGCTGTAAGCAGGGGTTGATCTAGGATTTTCTGAAAGATTTGAAACTTTTTTGTCGATTTTTTATAGGTTGACTAAATTGGGTTTCCGAGCTCGCCCAAAGCACTAAAAAGGCTATTTTGGTCAAATTTTCTTCGCCGCAGGCCAAATTTTGAAAAAACAAACCAAAAAAGTGACATTTTGAAAAAACAGGTGGAAAAAGAGGCCAAAAACAGGCAAATTTTCGAAAAAACAGACCAAACAAGTGGTTTCTGCTGAGGTATTTTTGGCTTGTAAGTGCTTGTAAGTTTTCTTTCGATGCTTATTGCACATTCTACTGTCTGTGCATCTTTCTTTTTTTAAAACTAGCCTTATTCATTTTGATGGGACAAAGTTATTACGCTAGCGAGCAATTAATGGGACAAAGTAATTACGCTGACGAGCAGCTAGTGTTTTAGAGCGAACATTATTTTTTTCTAACCTAACCCGCAAATAAGTGCGCATTGAAGGTGCTCATTTGTGTGCCTTTTTGCTAAAATCACGATCTGTAGCATTGGAAATTTCAAAGCATCTGTTCTCGGCTTTATTTGTGGCTAGTGTTTGTGATGGACTGAACGTCCGTGGCTAAGTGGTTAGTGCATGAGACTCGTAATTTGTAGATTGCAGTAGGGCGTAGACTCGAGTCTGACACGTCGCAGAATTTTTTGCTAATTCGAGGCTTATTTTTACTTTTTCTTTGCTAAGAGAAGCTTCGCCTCGAGGAGAAGCTTTACCTTTGTGTGCAATTTTTGCTAGATCAATTTTTTCTGGCAATTTAGCGACTTTTGTCTCAATTTGTCTGCTATTTTGTCATGCTATCTTTGTGTTTTATCCCAAGTGGTGATAAGCTCTGCATGTCCTACGTGTAAGGTTTTGTTTTGTTCCGACCAGTGAAAGTGGGGAGGAACTTTGTCTTCGGGTGTTTTTTGTTTTTTTTTCTGCGCAGGTTTTTGTACTACGAAAAAGTATCAAAAGTGTCACGGGCAAATGGTCAAAAGATATATCGTTTTCAAGCCCTTTCAGCCGTAGTTTGAACGTTCTCAGAAGGTTTCTCAGCTTCGAGTTTTTTTTATAAAAAAGAAGCTTTCATTTGAGCGGTAAACGTTAAGTTTTAATCCCGGAAAACTGGGTATTGAAGCTTCATTTAGCGCTTTCTTGGTTTCAAAAATTGTTTAAACAAGAATCATAAAAATACTCAGTGAAAAGTATACGACATATTTTTTTTGTTTTGTTAATAATTTTTAAGTCAACTGGAATTGATTATCGCTAGTGTTCTAACTTTTTGTCTAGTTCTGCTAATCACGTCACGCTCAAAAATCACAAATTGGAAAAAAAATGGTTGCTGTGCTATTTGTACAGTAAATGGCTACCCTTGTTGTTTTTCAATATCGTTTTAGTGAGTTGCATTTTTTGGAAAGCTCCATATTGTCTGTACGATTAGATTGGTTCATTAATTGGTTTTTCTTCAAATAACAGCAGTCTAATGCTCATAGCGTTGTTCATTTTTTTTTCAAAAGGTCATATACCTTTAAGTTAGTTTTTCATTTTCGGCCCCTGAGTTTTAGTAGTAAAGGGTTAGAGATGTTTATTGCAAGTCGTGCGAATTTTCGTTTTGCCAGCGTTACTCTTGCGACCACATGCAGGATGCGATCCGTTTCTGAACGTTGTCTGTTTGAAATTTTCTCTCGACTGATTGTTATTTTTCTACAGTTTGGTTCATTTTTGTATGCTGACTTATGCGCTGCAGATTTATGATTAATTGACAAGTTTAAGCATCGATGAACACAGTGAAGACACTTACATAGGTCGTTTGGAATTTTTTTTTTTCAGTAAAAAATCTTGAAATGCTCTGATAAGTACCGAAGTGAACTCAAACTTTTTCCTTTTTAGTGCTACTAGTCATATATGCACTTTTCAATTTCATTTGGTGAAAGGACGGCAATTTACATTCTGTAACTACGAGATTGGAAAAGGCACAAAAATATGAGTGACTTCCAGTTACGAAAGTGGATTTGTTTTAAGAGTCGATGAACGTAGTGCAGACTCTTATATTGCTCGTGGTCATTTAAAGTCGATGATCGTATTTCAGACTCTTATTTAGGTCGCGGGGATTCTTTTGTGTTTTTTTAGAAGTCGTAAAATGTGTTCAGGCTCAAATTCACTTTTTTGCGGTTTGATTTTTTCTTTCATTTCAGTTCATTTCCTTTGTTAAAAAAAGGCAAACTCCACTATTGAAAGAGCCGAAGTGTAAAAGTGCACAAGAAACTTGATCGACTTCTAATTTCGAAAGTAGAAATTAACTTTCAAGTGTCACAGCGAAATAAAAAAATTACCTATCGATTCAGTTTTCTCAAATTGGGTCCGTTTTATTGAAAGAGAGCCGGTCATACTTTGTTCTAGAAATTCAAAGAGCTTCGAGGGTATCTATTTTTTTCGTCGAATTTCGAAAGTTGAGATTTTTGCAAAAAAAAACAAGCCAGTATATTTTGTTTAATTGCGTTCATTGAATCTTTTCCAACTGTCTGTTGGCTACAATTTTTTCAAGAAAAGGCCCAAAATTTGTTCAGGCTCAATTTTACTATTTCACAGTTTGACTTTTGATTTTTATTTTATAAGTTCATTTCTTTTGTTTAAAGGAAGGCAAACGCCACTCTCGGACAGAAAAAAAATTAAAAGTCACGAAAAACTTCGAAAGTGGAATTTCTTTTTCAGATTTCCCAGCGAAATAAAACTTTCACCTATCGATCCAGTTTTGAGTTGATTTAATATAAAGAAAATCTCAATGATTAATTGATCTTGAAATTTAAAGAAACTTTAAGGCCATTTAATTTTTCCTTGAATCATTTTTATTCGGTTTCCTTGCGTTCATTGATCCAGGTATCTCGATTTGGGCGAATTTTATTTAAAAAGTGACAATCAAAATTTGATCTAGAAATTCAATGAGTACTTTGCCCTATTGTTTTTTCTTGGAAATTCGAAAATTGAGATTTTTTCGAGTTTTAAATCAGTAGTTTGTTTTACAACTCATTAACAACTTTGTTGGCTATGTTTAGATTAACCTCCTATGTTTACGAATAAACGTTTTATCGATTGATCCAATTTTTTCTGGATAATTTTTATGAAACGAGTGTCATGTTTTAAATATTCTTGAAACGTTTTAAAGATTCTTGAAACTTTATGAAACGAGAGATTTTAGTCCATTTTTTCTGAAACACGGAAGTTGAAAAATTGTCACAAAATTTTTGATTTTTTTTCTAGTTATTGACTAGCTTCATACATAATCTCCGTATGTCAGTGACTTTTTCATACTGTTTCATATCTGTGCAAAGTGTTAAAAACACGTTTGTGTGATTGGAATTTTTTTTTCAGGGTAATGCGTTTCGGACGAAAACGAGACGAGTGAAGAACAGGTTCTGGTGGGAGAATGTCAAGATGTGGATTGTGCTGGCATTCGTCATCGTGACAGTTGTCACACTTACCACCCTATTTTTCACGTGTGTTATCAAAATAGGACCCAACTGCTAGTATGGTTCGGTCTGGCACGTAATTAGGGGGGTTTCAAAATTTGAAAATCGTGACATTCCAGCAATAGTTTGCTTAGTTTAAAGGATATTAGTTGACTAAAAAGTTTCATCTGTTCAAACATTCTGTTCTGAGAATAGCATCTCCCTGGTTTAGCTGATCCGAACCATATGCTTACATACCTATCCAAATTGATTAATTATGCATTCTTAATCGATCACTGCTCTTAAGTTGAAAATTGTTAGAAGTATGTTTAAAGCTGTTGGCTATCAAAATTTTCGTATTGATCAATTGTGGCTTTGTAGGTTATTAGCAGTCATGCTTTGAGTTGAATGTTAGGTTTTATTATTGAAGTTATGGGCCAGTATCTGAAATAGTACATCCATTTTCAAGCGGCTCAAAAAAATAAAATCAAATTTAAGTTCACATCAGGTTCATTTAACATTTTGAAGTTGAGGCGATTATTAGTGCTTGGAATGATTGCAATTTGCTAATGATTGGCCTAAATGGTGCGAATGTCATGGAACCAGGGATTATAAGTTCAATTCATTAGTTCAGATTTGATAAGTTTACATATCTTGAATAGTTTAGATGGATTGGATTACCATTAATACTTTAGAAACTCAAGCGTGCTCTGTTTTGTATCAAAGTTCTATTTTGTAACTTTTTTGGTGTCTTTTTACTTAACCTACCCAAAACCTTTTATTGGTTGACTTCAGGCACAATTTTTCTGGATATTGCATTTAGGAGAATTAGACAGGTATAGAAAAATGTACCTAATTGACTGTATTAGAAGTCGAAGACTTTATTCAAGCTAAAATCTTTGACCTGGCGCTGCATTTTATTTTTGTGTTTCTAGATGAAATTCTTGGGTAGTTCAAGTTAAATACCCGTTTTATCTGCAATACACCGAGTATTAAAGAGTATTAATTTGTTTGTAAATTTGATTGACTCTTTCTTGTTTGTAAAAGTTTATTTAATAATTGCAAAAATTTAAATTTGAAAATATACTTTGATGTAATTTTGTTTTGATTTTACAAGGACTGCTTTCTTTGCCCTAACTCCAAGCACTGTTTATTTAAAGTTTCAGAAAGCAAGTGTCTTTTAATCGGGAACTAGACGATTTTTTCCCGTAAACAGCTTTGCACTTGCTTTAATATTGAACCTAAACAACTTACCGGTTTCTTCTCACTTGGCATGGAGGTAACGCGGTTGCTTTTGCACCCTAAGATTTCGGATTTGAGTCCCGGCAGGGCCTTGTTCTTTTTTCAGTACATATGAAATTGAAAGTTTTTAGTTTTGGTTTCTTCAAACTTTTCATTTATTTTGGACTTGGTGGTTCTCCATTTTTGTCTACTAGCTTGCAATGATGTTTTTATGTGTTTTTACTATCAATCATTACGGCACTAGTGATCAGCAAGGGTGTTGCAATCGGGTACTAGTTTTAAACCAAAAAAATGTTCATCGCAAAATGGTGAGTTTAGAAGGAATTTTAAATTTTACTACTGACATGCTCATATAGTTGGTAACTAGGTGAATTTCTTTTCATGTAGTAGTTATTTTTGAAAATTACCTGAAATATTTTGATTTTTTTTGGATTCATGGTGTTCATTCAAGCTTATGTTGGCTCAAATCCCATTTTTCAATTACAATTTATAATATCTGGTTCGGTTTTTATCGTTCATCAATTTGTAAGTTTACCAAGTCTGATTCGGATTAATTTGATTTGTTTTTTATTTCGATGAAACAGTTTCGGTTTCTGTTATATCGGGTTTATATATGTTATATTGCGAATTCGAGGGCAATTTATATCCTCAATCTGTTATGTTGCCAGTACCTATGAGTCGTAGAAACTGGTAATTTTTAATGATAACTTCTTTGTTAACGGGGTTCAACCCATAATTTGACGCCTTAGTTCCCAATGCTTTTTAAGGCTGTTATAACATGATTGGATTCAGTCATTATCCGATACAAATATGAAGTTTTTGTAGGTGTAGTTTTTTCACCGCGGTTTAGGTGTACTTTAGCGAACGGGTCTTGTACTGTTAGATAGTATCATGGTAGTTGAGACTCTTGTTCTCTGTAGTTCCGGGGGTTTTTATATTATCTTTTTTTCCGGCTCAACTTGTGTTTGCTCATAGATTGTAGGCTTTGTTCCGCTTTGTTTTTGCTCCGTTGCTAATTTCAATTTCAAAGATCTTGCTCGGCATATTTTTCTTGAAATTCTCTTTAATAAAAACAATATAACAAAATTTATGCAAAAATTTTCATTTCTAGGACACTATATGACCAATATATGACGTAATTAGGGAGATTTCAAAATTGTGAAATTCAAGCTATAGTTTGCTTAGCTTAAAGGATATTGGTTGACTAAAAAGTTTCATCTGTTCAAACATTCTGTTCTGAGAATAGCATCTCCCTGGTTTAGCTGATCCGAACCATATGAATACATACCTACCCAACTTGATTATTTATGCATTCTTAATCGATCACTGCTCTTCAGTTGAAAATTTGAAGTATGTTTAAAGCTGTTGGCTATCAAACTTTTCTTATTGATCAATTGTGGCTTTGTAGGTTATTAGCAGTCATGCTTTGATTTGAATGTTAGGTTTTATTATTGAAGTTATGGGCCAGTATCTGAAATAGTACATCCGTTTTCAAGCGGCTCAAAAAACTAAAATCAAATTGAAGTTCACATCAGGTTCATTTAACATTTTGAAATTGAGGTCATTATTAGTGCTTGGAATGGTTGCAATTTGCTAATGATTGGCCTAAATGGTGCGAATGTCATGGAACCAGGGATTATAAGGTTGATTCATCAGTTAGATTTGATAAGTTTTTACATCTTGTATAGTTTAGATGGATTGGATTACCATTATTACTTTAGAAACTCAAGCGTGCTCTGTTTTGTATCAAAGTTCTGTTTTCTAGTTCGATTGTTTAAAGTTTGACTTTTCTCGAGAATTACCTTCCCACATCTGAGGTTTTGGGTTGAATCAAAGTAGCGGTTATGGAAAGCTCCTCTGCATAATTGACCAGGCCCAATTTTTTACTCGAAAAGTTTTGCTACTTGGCTAAGTTATTTATGGTTTTATTTTTTGTATTGAAATTATTCGAGCTTCATCGAAAATTACCTAATAAATCTGAGTTTCTGGGTTCAATCGAAATAACAGGTTGTGTGAATCTCCTCTGCAAAAGTGACTACGCCCGTTTGTTTACACAGAAAGCTATGATTCTGGGAAAAATCAAATTTTCGCTTTTTGACCTTTTTCTGAAATTGCATCGTCGGAAACTACCCTCTCAAATTGGAGATTTTCGGTTCAATCAAAGGAAATGGCTGTGTAGAAACTCCCGTGTATAAGTCTATGGGTATCTAACTACCCTGCCAATTCTGGTATCAAGGGTTTAATCGAACTAACAGATTGTTCGATGCCTCAGTGCATAAGCGGCCGCTCCCATTTTGAAAAAAGATATGGCCTTCATCTTCCAAATTTTGTTACTTAGACAGTTTTTTGGATTTTTTTGACTTCTCTCGCAAACTACCGTGCTAATTATGGGTTTCAACAATCATGTTTATGAAGTTTATACCGTTTTTTTTGAAATTTTTCTATCTTATCAAAACTGAAATAAAGATTTCAATCGAAGGGACCGCTGCGAGAATTTTTCCTTCCTGAAGAAGCAGCGGCGCTGATAGAAAAGTTATTTTTTACCGAAAAAGGTTATGTTATTTGAAAAATTCGAAAGTTGTTTTAGTACGGAAACAATAAAGGCCATGGGCGAAATCCATTTTTTAATTTTGAAACTACATTTCATCCCGCATCAGTTTAAAAATTTCAATAAAGTCAAATAGGTTTTACAGCTTTAGCTAAGTCCCTAGTTTTTTTATTGAGACATACGAAAATTTTGGTTCGCCTAGTTTTTTTCCATTATCTTCATCTTTTTGAGACTTTTATGTGTTGTTTAATGTATGTGTTGTATCACAAATGCTGAGAAGATCGCTGTCCAATGACAAAGTCACAAGAAAGACTATTTGAAATTTTTATGGAAAAATTATAAGAGCAATCAGCAGGGGGAAAATCTGGGATTTTCTCGAGGGAGGCGACCAAATTTAGGTCGACCAAACTGGTTTTCCGAGCGTTCTTAGAACGCTATTAAAACCCTATTCTCTAAAAAAAACCTACATTAAAACCCTAGAACACTACAATAATCCGATGTCGTATTTTCAAAGTTTTGAAATTACCCTTTTCATCCCGCATCAGTTAAACAAATTCAAAACATGTCAAATAGGTTTTTTCCAGAATTTCAGCGCCGCAGACGAGTTTCTGAAAAAAAAATTGGCCAAAAAAGACGGCTTTAGGCACTTTTTGAAACATTTTGACCAAATTTTTTTCGATGGGCGTTCCCTTAAAAAGTTATATTTTGACGCAATTTGGTTGGTGAGTAGGTTAAATCCCTGAGGGGGTTGGGAAGGGCGTCCCGCCCCTCCGCCGTAAATTCGCCCCTGCAAGCAATTCTCGCGTGAGCTATTTTTTTTTTTTCATGTAGGTTAGTTTTTCTTTGGCTCTTGTTCAGCATAAGCTGAATTCGCTATTTCACAGCTTATTGGTTGCTGTCTGATTTTTGTTTCCTTTTTTTGAAGACAATTCGGTACTTTCTTAGTTCGAGTTCACTCATTTTGCTTAAACTGATGTGTTTTGTTCTTGTTGTAGCTACACTGATTAATTGTCAATGAATGTACTGAAGACACTTCTTTACGTCGTGATGATTTTATTTGTTTTTTTTTTCAAAAAAAAAGTTTTTTTTTGATCTTCATCAAAACTTTTTTTGTTCTCCATCGAATTAGATTTTTGAATTGAGATTTCTTTTCAATTTCAATTCAATGATTTAGCTCAAAAGAGGGTAAATTGCGCTTTTCAATTACAATAGCGGAAATGGCGCGAAACAATGTGAGCGACTTCTAGTTTCGAAAGAGGCGTTAATGTTTTTTGTTGCTCAGCGGAATAAAAAACTTACCTTTTGATCCAGTTTCTCAAATTGGGTCAGTTTTGTTTTAAATGTCCTCATTATTATTATTAAATTGTCCTTATTT